GGAGTAGCAGTCTAAGAAGAGGGAATGAGAATGTAAAGCAAAGTACCAAGTCCAACCCGGCCAAGGAACTAAAGAAAAAAGATGAGTTTGCCAGAAAGCTAAGAATTGGCTGGCCATACTGATAGAGCTGAGAGTTAGGACTTGATCATCAGAGAAAGAATAATGGCAGGCCATGAAGAAGAAGCACAGTTGGTACACACCTTATGGGGACTATTCCCAATGCTTAGGTGGGCCTAAAATCCTTGCTTCTGCAAGTGCAGGCTTAGATTATAAAAATCTTCTCCAAAAGGGCAGGGAGAGTTAAGGGCAAAGGGGAATCTTTGAGGGGTTAGTGTAAGTAAAAAGACAATAATTCAATATTTTACATGTATATGTTAGTCTCCACAAAACCTTTTAGACTGGTGAAGATTAAGATACAGTGACTTTAACCACGGAACAACTCCCAAAAAATTCCTATTAGAAATGATGGTGGTGCCCTGGCCAGTGTGGCTCAGTTGGTGTCCCATACAACAAAAAGCTGGGGTTCAATTCCCAGTCAGGAGAGCCTAGGCTGCAAGTTCAAAGCCCAACTGGGGAGCATATGGGAGGCAACCAATCGATGTTTCTCTCTCACGTCGATGTTTTCTCTCTCTCTCTCTCTGTCTTCCTCTGTCTCTAAAATCAATGAACATATTTTTTAATTTTTTTAATAAATGGGAGTGGTAAGAAGAGCATTAGATATGATATTCCTATTTCTTAAAAGAAAATAAATTTTAAAAGACTGAAAGTCCTACATTAGACTCTGAGTTTGATGACAGTATGGAATATACCTGTTTTATCACCATGTCTCAAATTAAACTTGAAAAATAATATAAAGGAAATAATCATTAAGTGTATAAAAACTACTCATAGACAGGGATGATCTTAATGACATCTAGACAAGAAAAACACAGCACTGCCTGCAGAACTAAGCCCCATACAGAGAATTCTGGCCTCTACAGAAGTATACTTGATACTGGGGCAGGAAAGGGTCAGTTGACCACTCAAAGGCCTACAGAGAGTATCCCTCAAGACTAACAATTCCCTCCTTGCTCATTCATTCATTCAGGAGGGAATGTTTAACCCAGAAATTCCACCACTAAGTATACAAGCTCTGTCCAGAAAAAGCCCAGCCATTGTTAATATATTAAGAATGGTTTGCACCACATCAATGTAACCTGGCAGCCAAGGTTGCCAGGGACTGGAATGTGCATGCATGAACAATGACAACTTCACCATACTAGTCAGTGGAGGTGGCAGAATGCCATTGAGAGAGTGTGTGTATTGCGTGGCCGTGGCATTCAAAATGACCATGTGAATAAAGCAATGAATCAAATTTTGTGATAAGCTTAAACATTCTTCTGCAGAAACTATTAAGATGATTCAGAAGGCTGCAGCTATGGGGAACTAACTGGTTATTGGCAGCTTTATCATGATAAGGCAGAGTTTCTTTGGCCAAACATCAAATCACCCAGGTGACTAAGCTCCCCTAAAGTCCAGATGTGGTGCCCTGTGACTTCTGGCTTTTCCCAAAACAAAAGTCACCTTTGAAAGGATAGAGATTTCAGACCTTCGATGAGATTCAGAGATATACAGCAGGGCAGCTGATGGTGATTGGGAGAACTGTGTGAGGTCGCACGGTGCCTACTTTGAAGGGGACTGAGGCATCATTGTCCTAAGTTCAAAGTTTCTTGTATCTTATGTCTTCCCCAATGTCTCTATTTTTCATATTATATGGCTGGATACCTTCTGCACAGACCTCGTATATCCAAGAGTAAAAAAAACATATACCCACACAAAAACTAGTTCATGAATGTTCATAGCAGCACATTATTTGTAATAGTCAAAAGGTGGGAACAAGCTAAATGCCCATCAACTAATGATTGAATAAACAAAATGTGACATAGTCACAGAAGAGAATATTATTCAACCATAAAAAAGAATGAAATACTATGTGACAACACAGATGAACCTTGGCAACATTATGTTAAGTGAAAGAATCCAGTCACAAAACACCACATATTATGATTCCATGTATATAAAAGGTCCGGAATAAGCAAATCTATTGATAGAAAACAGATTAGTAGTTGCCTAAGACTAGAGAGGAAGGGAGTTGGAGAGAAATAGATAAAACTGCTATTGGGAACAGGGTTTCTTTTCCAAGTGATAAAAATATTCTAAAACTGATTGTGGTGACGGTTGCAAATACCATTCAATTGTACACTTTAAAAAGGTGGATTGTAGCCCTGGCTGGTGTAGCTTAGTGGATTGAGTGCAGGCCTGCAAACCAAAAGGTCACCAGTTCCATTCCCAGTCCAGGGAATATACCTGGGTTGCGAGCCAGGTTTCAGCAGAGAGTGCATGGGAGGCAACCACACATTGATGTTTGTCTCCCTCTCCTTCTCCCTCCCTTCCCCTTTCTCTAAAAATAAATAAAATCTTAAAAAATAAATAGGTAGATTATATGGCATGTGAATTGTTTCCTACTAAAGGTATTATTGAAAAAGATCACCTCAGGCACTATGGTAAACTGCTGAAAATACAGTAATGAAAAAACCACACCCAGAACCTGTTTTCAGGTTCTAATACTGTATGTAGTAAGGAAGAACCAGTCAAGAGGCAATTATAAAACAATAAAAAAAGAAAAGAGATTGTACCCCAGGAGCACCTAACCTAGCCCTGGGTAATTTAGAAGATGTCCAGAGGAAAAAATATAGAATATTTTCATCCTTAAATGGAAATTTAAATCTTAAAAAACTTTTAAAAAAATTAAATACCTGCCCCAGCTGGTATGTCTCAGTAGATAGAGTGCCAGCCTGCAAGCTGAAAGGTTCTGGTTCCATTCCCAATCAAGGTACTTGCCAGGACTGTAGGCCAGGCCCCCAGTAGGAGGCAGGTAGGGGGCGCATGAGACACAACTGAAGGATGTTTCTCTAGCACTTTTCTCTCTTCCTGCCTTTCCCCCCTCTAAAAATAAATTTTTAAAAACTCTAAAAAAAGGTTAAGTACCAGTTCAACTTATTAAAACCTTTATTTTCATAGAATAGGAATAGGAATGCTTTTTAAAAGCATTTGTGTGTGTGCAATGTTTAAAATGTATATTTTTAACTTTAAAAAAGCAACCGATTAAAATCTGTTGACATGAAACACATCTCCAATTTAAATTGCACTGTTATTACCAAGTTCATGGGGATGCTGTAAAGATTATGTACAAATTTTTCATAACACCTTAAACTGGGAAAAAGGGCCTAAAAATCATAAATCCCCATGTAATACACTGCAAAGCAAAGCGTGGGGGAGCCCTAGCCTCACAGCTCAGTTGGTTAGTGTCATCCCTATATTCCAAAGTTTCTGGTTCCATCCCAAGCCAGGGCACATTCAAGAATTAACTGATGAATCCATAAATAAGTGCAACAAGGAACCCAAGTTTGTTTGTTTTTTCTCCCTAACCCTCCCCTTTCCACTCCCCTTCCCCCCCTTCCCCTCCCCAGCTTCTACCTCCCCCTCTCCCTCCCTCCTTCCCTCCCTCCCTCTGGCCCTCCTCTCTAAAATCAATAAAATAAAACACGGCGGGGGGGATGGGGATGGGAGGGGACTGACTAGGTAGAACAGGAGTAATGATCTTAAAGGAGAACTGAGTGCTACAAAATAAAAATGGCCCTTTAAGAATTAAAGCCACTTGGTAGGGGGCGGTTAGGGAGTGGAGGTATGAGCAAAAAGGAAACAGGGCTTACGGAGAAGGACGAGTGTGGTGATTGCAGGGGGAGGAGGGTAGAAGGGGGTCAAATGGTAATGAATAAAGTACAATTAAAGTTTTTTTAAAGAATTATTTTACAAAAAGAAAGCCACTAATTTTCAAGCACAACACTTTCAAATTACGATAGTAACCATTGCCATAGAAACAGCGAAGTCGACTTTCCCGAAGTTAAAAATAAAAAATATTGCAAATTTAAGTGGATGAAATAGGGCAAAGTTTGGTCCGAAACTAGGTGAACAGAGGCTACTAGAAACTTTCACCGAAATAAGGGTGGACCAACTGCAACTACCAACCTACATTTCCAAAGCAGTGCTTCAAAATTCACCCCAATGGTAATCTACCAAGTGCTAAAAAAAAGTTTGCCCTCCCTTCTCTCGGAGGAGGAACCAGACAAAACCCCTCCCAAGCATCGCCCACAACCAAAGCCAGCCGCTGCAGACGTGCACTGTGCAGCTCTGGGGGAGACTGCCTCCGAGTTCACCCGGAAAGCATCCGAATCAAGCCCTGCAGGTTTCATTGGCTGAGTCCCGAGAAAAACCCAAGCTCGAGCCAGGAGCCCCAGCCTGCCTGGCCTGAGTGCCTCCCTCCACATCCGCACCCCACGCCACCTCCCGTGCTTGGCATTCCACGCGACCCGATCCAACTCCTATTTATTAAGCACCCACTGTCTACACCGCATCGTGGTTTCGGGCACTGTAGAAATGGCCCCATGTGGGAAAGACCAAAAGGACAAACACGAAGGCTACCTGCGACCAGGTTTTCTGAAGAAAAGCCCCCGCCCTCACCCTGCGGTGGTTACAGTTCCAGTGAAGAGGCAGTCCCGAGGGATTCAGCAGGCCCTGCTTCCCCGAGTCCGCCGCAGACCCAGACGGAAGGGGAAAGGAAAGGAGTCAGCATCTCTGGACCACCCGCGCGCTCCTCTGCCCCAAAGAGCGCGACCCGACTCCGGCTCCTAAGAGAACGACTAGAGCGGCACCGAACCCCCGTGAGGACCGGAGCAGTCTGTCGCTGGCTCCCGAATCCCTGCCCTGAGACCATGGCCGGCCGTTCTCTCCCCAGCCTGACAGTCACTGCGGCCGCGGACCGATAGTCTCAGGTCCGGCGCCTCCACTCTCCCGGACGCCGGCAACCCCTGCTGCCCCGTGCGGAGTAGGGCAGTGCTGAGAAGACCGACCGGGCCCTCCCCCCACCACCCCCAAAGCCCGGACTCCCGAAAATCGGTTACCTGGCGCAAGCGTGGAGCGAGGACCCGGCCCTGAGAAGGAAAAGGAAATGGAAAACAGTGGCCTCGGGACCACAGAGATTTCAGAAATTTGGGAGACTTGTTCCGCACTGGGTGACAGCTGCTCGCTGCGCACGCGCACCCGGCTCCAGACGCCGATCCCTCCGCCGCTCCTCACCCTCCCTTGGAGGGTTTGGGAGGCAGCAGAGAAGGTGCGCGCACAATGCTTGCCGGATCCCCCTGCGCGAGGGCGCGCGCGCCGTCATGTGACCGCTGGGCTTAATGCTTAGTGGGTCACGTGAACTTCTAAACAGCTTAAAGGTGCCTAGCACCTTCTCACTTTGGGCTTAATCTTCTGCGGTGTTCTTAGCCTAGGTTTGCGGTCGCATACCTTGTTCTCATGTACTTTTTCCCAGAAGGGAGAGACACTTAAGCAGAGGAAGGAACAGGTGCACAGAATCTTGCCCGGAAGTGCCGACCGTGTACCCGCAGGGCTAGACGTGATGGAGTCCACGCGCCTCACGTCCTCCTGGGCTCCGACGCTGGACTAGGGCGCCCTCCTGCGCGCGGACGTCTAAGTAGCGTTGCCATAGGAAGGGCCTCGGAATGCCCAGTCGATTTTCGCTTGGGCGTCTGGGTTCCGTCCTAGTCAGCGATGACAGTGACTTATGGCCAGGGCTTCTGAGGCTCTTAACAACAACGGGAGATCCGCAGTGGCTGAAGGGTGTCCACCTGCTAACTTTTTAACAGGTAACTCAAGCAAGAGGCCGTGTTATTGGCCTTATGTAGTGATAACCTTCGTATTTCAGGCACCTAATATTAAGTACGTCCCGCCCTAAGCAGATGTGCACTTGACCTGGGGACGCCTGAGGGTAGTCGCAATAGAAGTCCGGGCTAGGGGTCTCCAAAAAACTAGAGATGGCAGCAGTTTAGCCTGAATTGTAACAGGAAGTGCAGGTGCCTCCGGAACCCTAAGAACATAAGTTAGCTTGCCACAACTTGTTGCTGTAACTCTGCCTTCCAAGGTGTCAGAAGGAACCACACAAATCTTAAGCATTTGTACTGCCAAAGGCAGAGTTCCCAGCTGGGTCCCTTGTGGTTTTTCCCCTAACGTCTTCTCATCTAAGGAAGACTAGATCGTTACACTACTGAGCACACTGGCTGTCTAGTATGCTGGGTTTTTCTAATACAATCCATCAATTTCTGCTTTTTAAAATACCTCAAACCCATTTACCACACCGTTTAAGATAAGTCTTGCTGGAAGGAGCATTTCCAGGACAAATGAAATGTGTTTCAGTAAGACTAATGGGATTACTGGACCACTACCATTCTTTAGTTATTAAATTCTAAACAAGATTTAAGCGGTACTACCCACCCACATATACCTCTGAAATTTGCCTAACGTACACCCCAAATGGGAATTTTCCAAATGTGTACACTGTGAGGATCCCAACCCTCCTTACAAGTCAATTGGATATGCTAAAACAATAAACCTGTAATTTAACATTTATTTAGGGTTTACTGTAAGCTTGACACTATTTTAAGAGCTTCACGTATATTAATTAATCCTTGTACTCATTCAGTGACTAGGTATTATCTCCTTGTTACACACATGAAAACTGAAGTATAGAGGTTAAGAAATGTCAGCTACTAAAAACCAAGATCCTTGGTACACCAGAATAAGAATTCCAGTCTCTCCACAATTTGCACATGCATGATAATGTACAAACAACATTTGTCCAACACAACAGATCAAGTCTCAGGGTTTTTTTTTTCCTTTTTATTGAATTTATTGGGGTGACAATGGTTAACAAAATCATACAGTTTTCAGGTGCATGATTCTAAACACATGATCTGTACACTGTGTTGTTCACTACCCCATCAGTTTTATTTTACTTATTAATTTTAGAGAGAAAGAGGAAGGGGGAGAGATTGAGACAGAGAAACATCAATTTGTTTTTCCACTTACTTATACACTTATTGGTTGATTCTTGTATGTACCCACACCAGAGATCCAACCAACAACGTCGGCATATTGGGTAATGCTCTAAGCAACTGAGCTACTCCAAACTGAGCTAGGGCCAAACCTAAAAAATAAGACAGACATACCAGCCTTGCTGACTTCTCCAGGCATTTTTAAAAATCAAAGAAGATCATGTAAAATGTCAAAAAAACCTTCAAAAACTGGAAAGCACTTTGTGAATCTATGAAGCACTTCACAGTTTTGGAAATTGAAGTGAGCCCATTGGAAAATCAACTGGATTCATGGCACAGAACAGTGTTATGTCCCTAATATATCAAAATACCTCTATATTGTAGATTACAATAATATTTTAGCCATATATTTGATTAATTTATTTATTCCCAATAAAATCTACAACTGCAATAAGGTGGTGGCTGTAAAATGGATACATAGATTCCACTTGAAGCTTATATGTTATGTGAACTATTATTTAGATCACCACAGAGATAATAATTGTAAATTTCTTAAAATATGTATAATACAGCAAATTGATACTCTACCAAATAATATAATCTAATTTTGAATATATCGAAGTCCTTTTGACCTTTGCAAATATAAAGAAATAATACTAGTAATCATTAATGTTTATATTTATTCTTATCACATATGTATATTATTTATACAAATACAAACCAACCAATAACTAAATATTTAGATGATGTTTTAAAGAGTCACAGTGCATATGATAGTTAGTATTAATGAAATTATATACTTTTGTGCCTGTTCTTCTCTGTGTCCTGTGTTCTGAATTTAGCTCTCACCTGGATTACTATAATATTCACCTATTTTCACCAATGATACATCTGGTAAAGGGTTAATCTCGAAAATATACAAAGAACTAATACAATTCAATTCCAGGAAGACAAAGAGTCCAATTCAAAATGGGCAAAGGACTTGGTCCCTTCTTCAAAGAGGACATACAGATGGCCAATAGACGTATGAAAAGATGCTCAACATCACTACTCATCAGAGAGATGCAAATTAAAACCACAATGAGGTATCACCTTACACCTGTCAGAATGACTATCATCAGTAAATTGACAAACAAGCATTGGCAAGGAAGTGGAGAAAAGGGAACCCCCATGTACTGCTGGTGGGAATGTAGACTTGTACAGCCACAGTGGAAAACAATATGGAGTATCCTCAAAAAACTAAAAATGGAACTATCTTTTAACCCAATATTTCCACTTCTAGGAATATAGCCTAAGAACCCTGAAACAGCAATACAAAAAATATGTATGTACTCCTATGTTCATAGCAGCACTATTTATAACAGCGAAGATCTGGAAAGAGACTAAGTGCCCATCAGTAGATGAGTGAATAAAAAAGCTATGGCACATTTCTACAATGGAATACTATGCAGCAGTAAAAAAGAAGAAACTCATATCCTTTACAACAGCACAGACGGATCTGGAGAATACTACACCAAATGAAATAAGCAAGACAGTGAAGGACAAATGCCACATGATCTCACTTATATGTGGAATCTAATGAACACTATAAACTAAAGAACAAAATAGAAATAGACTCATAGATACATGGAACAGACTGACAGCTGCCAGAGACGAGCAGGGGGGACTGGATGAAAGATGGCAAAGGGATTAACCACAGAACATTTATGCATAACACATGGACACAGACAATGAAATGGGGATTGACAGGGCAAGGGAAGAGAGTGGAATGGGGTGGAGGTGGGGAAAGGGGGGAAAAAGCGGGATCAACCATAATAGCATAAACAATTTTTTTAATGCACCTAATGATCTCCCTACCTCCAATGCATTCTCTATCCACCTTTCCCCCTCCAACCTATCTTCTGTACTGCAAGTCAAAATTGTCCTCCTAAAGTAAAAATCAGATCATGATTCCAACCAATTGAAACACTTCATTAATTCCCCATATCAATATCAAACTTTTCAGTCCTTTCTACTAAAGGAGTCACAATAGCCAAAAAGAGTATGGTGGTCACAGGTATGGGAATAGACTTTGAAGTGACTCATGCCTCCTGTGTAAACTAAATATTCATTCAGTGAGTTTAGATACCATTTTATCTGTTTGTTTTAATATAAGTCTAATACCCAAAATTATATACCAGTTAGATTATTTGTTTGAATATTTGAATAAAATTTAAGCTTTGGAGAGATACATCATATTTTCCCTAGGGCTTCTAGTTCTCCCTGGGCCATTGCCTTACATTTGTACATGTGTTCATGTGGGGGGATGAGGTGCTAGAGGAACTGATGAGGAAGTTTGTTTTTCGCACCAAGAAAAATGTAAATGATTTATAACACCCAAATCATAACATAAAAAAAATAAATGTGCATTCTTTTAACAAATAAAACCACAATCGTAGGCTGAAGTTACTAACTTCTGAGCACTTACAGTCCCAATCGATCCACTTTTATTACTTATTATCATCCATTATTATTGTCACTTGTACTGTTTTATAAACAGGTACTGGGTAGTGACACAGCCATCAGTAGGAGAGATGTGGCTTTGCACTCATTGAGCATACAGTCAAGCCACAATGAGATACTCTTACATACCCATAAAAAGGCTAAGAATAAAAACACTGACAGAAACAAATGATGGTGATAATATGGAAAAACATAAACACCTACAGAAATACATGGGCATGTGCACCAAAGACATGTAGAGAAAGGTTTATAGCACCATTACTTATGAAATCCCAAACTGAAAACAACCCAAATATCCATCAACAGTAGAATGAAGATAGAAATACTGGTATAGTCATACAACAGAAAACTATACATCAGTGAAAATAAATGAGGTACTGCTACCCAAACATATGGCTAAATCTCACATATACCGTGTTAAATGGAAGAAGCCAGACCCTGCAAAAAAATATATTCAGAATTATTTGTGATTCTGTTTATATAACAGTTAAAAATATAACTATTCCAATGGTGTTAGAAATCACAAAAATTGCTGCCTTTAAGGAGGAAAAAGGGGATAGAGTGAGTAGGAGGGAAGAAGTGGGGAACCTCTGGTATGCTGGTTATGCACTAATTTTTTTTTACCTTGGTGGTAATAACTGAAAATTCATTAAACTGTATCCTTACAATTTTTGCATGTTTCCCTTAGATTTTAATTAAAAAGCTTTTCAAACATTTACCATGTTAATTTTTGTATATCGTTATATCAATTTTCTTACCTACCTTTTTACAAATGAACCACCCAGGTTAATTTAATTTGACAAA